AGCAAAATATCTTGGCTCAGTATTTCTTCTCTAAAATGGCAGTGCTTCAGCATGGCCATTTCGAGCCCTTCCTCCTTATCCTAGATAAAGTCAACAAATCAACCCTGGGATTAAGTTTTTCCTCATATTTAACTGAAATCTGGCTCCCTATAACCTGAGCCCATTACAATATTACGAGTGCTGCTGTCCGGAATGACACGGAACAAATCCTGCTTCTCCTTTGTATGACAATCTTTAAAGTATTTGAGGACTACTATCATATTTCTCATTGGTCTTCTTTTAGCAAGGCTAACATGCCCAGTTTTTCCATTCTTTTCTCATAGGTCTTGAACTTCTTCCAGTTTGCTTGTAAGCTTCTTGAAATGCAGGATCCAGAATTGGAGGCAATAAAGATGTGGCCTAGCCATGGGATTTGGGGACTATACTTCTGTTAATGCAGGATTTGCCTTTTCCGCAATCGCATCACATTGTTGGCTCATATTCAGCTTGTGAACTACAATTCCAAGATCCTTCTCTCATGTAGTATAGCTGAGCCAAGTATTTCTGAACGTATAATTGTGCATTTGTTTTTTCCTTCCTTTGTGTCAAACTTTGAACTTATCCCTGTTGCATTCCCCTCTGTTGTTGTCAGCCTATCAAGAACATTCTAAAAAAAATGTCTTGTCTTTTTGGGTATTTGCTAGTCGACCCAATTTTGTGTCACCCGCCAATCTGATAAGCATTCTGTGCACCTCCTTATCCAGGTCATTAGTAAAAATCTGAAAGAGAACTGGGCCCAGTTGTGGACATTTTCTGTGCAGGCCCTTACTGTACTTAGGTGATCCCTAAGCCTGCACAGCCTTGAAGAATATGTTACAAACACTTGCGTTTTGCCTTCTTCATTCACTGCAAGCAATACAATCTGATCTTAGTAGGGCACACACACAGGCTGAAGTCAGCCCAGCTCAACCTCACTGTCCCCATCCTGATACCCTCCAGCTATGTTGGACTAAAACTCCCACCATCTCCAGCC